CTACTTTGGATGGATCCACTACTATTCTACCACTAGAAATCACATGACCAAGAAAACTTACTTCTTGCAACCAACCCTTACATTTAGATAGCTTGGCATACAAATTCTTATTTTTCAAAACCTGAAGCACAACTCATAGATGTCCCCCATGTTCTTCAGCTGATTTAGAATACACCAGAATATCATATATGAACACCACAACAAACTGATCCAAAGAAGGAGGGAATATCTTATTCATATACTCTATAAACACACCAGGAGCATTAGGCACACCGAACAATATCACTGAGTACTCATAGTGATCATATCAAGTTCTAAATGCAATCTTCATAATATCTTTATCCTTCACTAAATTTGATGATAACCCAATCTCAAATCAATCTTTCTAAACATACACGCTTCGACCAAGTGATCCATAAGGTCATTAATTCTAGAAAGATGACACTTGTTCTTGATAGTAACCTTATTCAACTGTCGATAATCAACACATAACCTCATACTACCATCTTTCTTATTTACCAACAACACTAGAGCTCCGTATGGCGATACACTTGGTCTAGTATCAGGTACTAAATCTATGGCGAAATCAACTTCTCTCTCTGGCAGACAATCACTAATTTCATCTCGAAACACATTTGAAAACCCGTACATCACTGACAGATCATTAATAATAACATAAATCTCAAATTTCAAAGAAGCGAACATAGAAAACACTTGAGCCTCATCTTTTAAGAACTCTTCCACTTGGCCGGTGGACATGAATCTCGAATCCGTACTTTCTTCGAGTTCGGGGAAAAATGCAGCCTCATCCAAAAATATGCACTCTTGAAATCATCGACATGTTGAACTAACTCTCTACATCTGAAACATCTCAGATAAGCAGAAGCTCTTTTTCCACTTGTTTCAATCCCTTTAATGTTGATAAGTGATTAGGAAACCAAAACGATGTCGAGAGTGTTCACACACATGTCATATGCCAGGGAAATGCAAAAAGTTCACATACCTAGGCCAAATGAATCGACCTACTCTGAAAGCAATTATGTAATACCCTAGAACCCCACGACTCTTATTTATTTTAAATCATGAAAATAAAACATTATTAAGCATCAAGGGTGTCATACATCTCTTTACACATAACCATGCTTCTAAAAAAAACTTCAAAAATAAGTAACGGATAATATCAAACAGGTTTAACTGAATAAATCGAAACAGCTAGTTCAATACTTAAGCATGAGGGAAACGGTCTCATAAATCTTAAAAAAATAAAACACAAAGCAAAAGAAATTTCGTTCCAGTGTTACATATCAGAGAGACAACACGAAACTAAACTAAACTAAAAAATGTAAATAGAGAAGAAGGCAATATGCGCCATTCTCCAATTCACCACTATTGTCCGCTACCTGTATCTTCAACATAGGCATAACGAGTCACACAACAACATAAAAGGGGTGAGAATAACTTTATAGAAGTTATTGGTGTATTATTCAGCAAGGATTTCATTCACAAATATAACATAAATCATACACATTAATTCTCGTCCACAAATAATTACAATGCAAATGCAAGATGTTGTGTAATTCTCCTCCAATATGCATGTCGTACCAAAAGTTTGGATGTCCGAGTTATTTATGGAATTATCCACGTCTACAATTTCTCTATGAAAAATATTATCTCTGAACAATGAAACAATCAGTGACTTTTTCTGAACACTGGACCTCGTCGGACGAAAGTCCTACATATCTTCAATATACAAGAATGCATGAACATATAATGTCAATCAAAACTCAAATTAATCAAAAAATGATATATCATATCTTGTATCAACAATGTTCTCTCTGGACTCACAATTAGTCAATATAAGACAATCACTATAATTCTCTATGAATTATACAACTCAACAGACACGTCAACTCAAAATACACGTTAACTCAATTTGCTCATCTACTCATAAAATTACTCAAAACATATCGACATAGTAATAATTATCATTTTATACTTGCAACTCACCAAAAATGTAACAATTCTTATTTTTACTCAACAAAGTTCTCAAAGGAATTCTAAACTGTTCTACAATAATCTCTATAACTCCAAAATAATTCTAGGGTGCTCAAATGATAACTCATGCATATAAAGATAACTGTAATGAACTATATTGGTTGATGCCTTGACACAAGTAATAATAAAACAATCATAAAGTTACAATTTGACTCTCAAACTTATCAAAAGGATAGACAAAGGCCACTGAACTCAAAATTGCATAAAATTCGATGACTGTACAGCAAACCTGAACGCCGACCTTATTTTTTTGTCATTTTTTAATGATTTTTCGGAGAAAAAGAGTGATATTTGGGATTTTTCATGAAAAATAGGCCATTTGAGATTTGATCATTGATCACTTAGAAAAAATAACAATTACACAACACAGACAGATCAAGATCAAATTATCAACAAAAATCTCCAAAGGGGCACAACCACATATCGATAATGACAATATCAACAATATCAATAATATCAATCATGTATTCAAATCATTCAATTCAATATAATATAATCAAATTGTTAATTCAAAAAGGTTTTGGGAGAAACCCTTTTGGCCACAAACATATGATCACACAAAACACATAATGGAATGGGGAAGAAGAAGACATGAGGGTTAGGACCCATCGCCATATGACTGCCTAAAAATCCAACATATAAATAATTCCCACTATCTCAAAATTGATGATCGTTAAGTTTTCCTTTAGTTGGGATTCTACCTCACCCTGCTTCCTACTACCGCTCTCCTTAGGTTTTTTTTTTTTTCCGCTTTCCTCTTTTCCACAATTTCATGTTCTAACAAAAGTCTCATCTAATTTATCTATTTATATTACCCAAATTCACTTATTTTATTTTAAAAATTTTAATATTTTATAATTTTAATCAAATAATAATTATATCACTAATAATAATACTTATTTTATTACAACACCATAATTCCCTAATTTAAATAAAAATATCACCAATATTTAATTGTTTTAATAAACTTAATTATTTTTCTCAACTTTAATATTTCTCTAAATTCTATCGTTAATTAAATTACCAAAATACCCTTAATTTTCACAAAACACGTGAATCACTCTATAAAATAAAATAAACTAAATAATTTAAATAAAAAATAATTAACTAAAGTCGAGGTGTTGCACTCAACTCCAAGATGTTCGTGTCTGAAAATTTATTGATTGATTTTCCTTGAAATAACATGTGTTTTAGTCAGTTGCAAATACTATATTGGTTTCTTTATGACCGAAATCAGATATCGTCTTCTAAGTTTGTTGCTTCTATGTACCCTCACTTGAAGGATATTGATGCGCGACTAATTTCTTTATGATTGACTTACCGAATCTCTATCATGTTTGAATATAGATTCTTGGCTTTATAAGAAGCACCTTCGAGATCTATTTTTGTCTAGACAATTCATATATTGTAGAGAAAATTATCCATGTTCTTCGAGACTATGTCACAGCTAAAAATGTTTAGTTATCATTGTAAAAGCTAACCATTGAGAGGTCGTATTTAACACAAGTCTACAAGAGTGATTTGATTACAATATGCATTTTAGGATATGTAATGGAGATCATAAGAAATGGTGAAATTTGGGAAACAACCTGTCACATTTTATGGTTTTGGAGGAATCAAAGGGAGTATGTGGATGACTATGTCTTGCCCACCAATTTGGCAGATGAGGTTTATATGAAAAGCAATAACTACTAAACACGTCTTGGCTTTCAACAAAATCTGCATAGTGAACAACAGATCATTCAACATGTCAAATGGTCTTCACCAAAGGAAGATTGGATAGGCCGAATACTAGTGAAATTGTCAAAGGAAATAGAAAAGTAGGGTGTGGGGGAATTTATGAGAGACATTAGGGGAACATGGTGTGGAGGTTTTTCCAAGAATATAGGAACTTGTGGAGTATACATTGTTGAATTGTAGGGAATTTATGAAGGATTCAACTTTGCCTTTCCTAAAGGACATAAAAAGGTGGTGTTTCATATTGGTATTAGGAGATTTGTATAGAAATCAACAAGAATAACGCTAAAGTAGGCACATATTGGATATTGTTAAACAAATCAAGATAATTCTTACACACGATTAGGAAGTTCGAAATTGAGCGTGTATACAAGGAAGCAAATAGGTGTGTGGATACCATGGCTAACTTGGACTTACATAATGATCCAGGGCCACTATACTATAAAGATTGTTCAACGGAGCTCCTAACAATGTTTACTTCTGATTTATTAGGGTCTCTACCCCTTGTGTAACAAGTGATTAATTTCTTTTTGGACTTTTTAGCCCTGTATCATATAAAAAAGTATGTTTAGATTCACCGTTGGAGCATTTAAAATTGATTATGAATGTGTAAATTGATTTTGACATATTTTGTTACTTGTGAGCAGAATTGATTCTACTTAAAGTTAAGATTTACTACTTCCATTTCTTTTTATAAGAGACAACTTACTTTTTAGATTTATTGAGTAACCAATATATCTAATTTATAAACTAACCAAATAAATTAATTAATCAATAAACTTAAAAAAATAAATTGTCTTTTATATAAAAGAACGCATTTAAATAATATTACTTTTAAAATTATAAATAAAACTTTTACACAATTTATTATTCAACTCACTTTTATAAGAATTCTCCAAACATAACTCAGACTATCTTCAACTCACTTATAAATAATAATTCACTCAAAATAAATTTTTGACCGCAAAAACACATTGTATGATGTGAATATATACATGTAATCAAAATTAAATTATATAAACATCTTGACCACATGATAGTGTGAAATTGATGTCAATCTTTGATCATATATGACAAGATGTGTGAGATATTTATCTATATAATAAAAAACACCCTTTCCCTTTTCTTTTAAATCAAAGGCCCAACCTCAACAAGTTGCCTTCTGACTTTGTCTCTAGTTTCTTTCTTTCTTTGGGAAATACACAAACATGTCTTCTCTCTTCTCCAATGGCAAACCCAATTTCTCTCTTGAGATTCCCACCATCAAGTTCACTAAACTCTTCATCAATGGACAATTTGTTGATTCTCTTTCAGGTTCTTCACTAATTTTAATTTACATCTTCTCTTTTTTTTCTCTACCAAATTATTACTTTTCTTCTATATTTTTCTGTATGTCAATTTTATTTCTTTTTTTTTTTTAGTTTAATTTTTATTGCTTCTCAAGCTTATTATACTTTCTACTGCACTACTTTTATTTTGCCACTATGTTGTTCTTTGTATAGAATTAATAAACTTTATTATTCTTTATATAACTTTTTAATCCATTATCACTCTTGATTTTTTTCATCTATTCTTTTTATGAAAAATAATTAAAAATAGTATTAAAATTAATATTGCATGAGTTTTAAAAATGACGAATAACAAAGGTGTTTGTGGATTGAGTAAAATGTAATTTAATCAAATTCATTACTAATTAACCAATGGTTTTTGGTTTAGTTTCATTGTTAACCTGTAAATTTTAACATAAAACTAAACTAAACCAACCCAATTATCAATGGAGGATTGGTATGAGTTGGATTCTCATATCATATTAAAAATCACTTTTAATTTTAAATAAAATAGTGATTCATTGAACATATTTATGGTACTTAATTTTTTTTAAATATTAAAATAATTAAATTGAATAAAATGTATCATTTTGTCACATGAAAGTATATACTTTTTTCTATAGTTTAATTTTGTCACATAAAAGTATATACTCTTTTTTCTTTTGATTAATTTAGTCACATGAAAGTGAAATGATACTAGATGACACCCAAAATTATAGTTTCAATTTCAATGTATGAAGTCAAAGCATAGGTTAGATAAATTCATAATTAATCTGTCCTTCATTTTCAGTAAAATAATAAAATAGAAAATAAACAAATCATCTTTTTGTGTTTAGTTCCGTTTGAATTGTGAAGTGTTGTTGTTTTGGACAAAGAATAAGATATATAAAAATGCAGATAACCGTTTTGTATTTATGCCTTAAAACATATATATTTATAATTGAATTTGATTAATCTATCATTTGTTAGTTCTTTTATAGTAATATTTATTTAACTTTATTATAATTATAATGTTAAGTGAAAATGTGAAAATAGGAAAAGAATTTGAGACAATAGATCCTAGAAGTGGAGAGGTGATAGCGAAAATTGCAGAGGGAGAAAAAGAAGATATTGATGTTGCTGTGAGAGCGGCACGTGTCGCTTTCGATGATGGTCCATGGCCTAGAATGCCCGGTGCGGTACGTTATCATTTCTCTTTCACTCTTTTAATTTACGTAATTGAACTCTCATTGTTTTAATTCATGTTGAAACAGATTTTTTTATGGTAAAGCATTTAATGCGAATTGATCAAAACAATAAAATATTGAGAATAGTAATAAACGTACTACATTTCTCACTAAAAAAAGGTAAAAATGTCAAGACTCAAAATAATAGATGTGCATTTGAAAAAGAAAATGGTTAACATTACATTTCTTGTGTTAAAATTTATAAATAAAAAGCTTGTTGAATACAGAATTAAAATGATAATTATAAATTCTTAATTAAATCAATGCATGATTTTTAAAATTATATTTTTATATTCAGTACATATTTTTTATTTTAATACAAGTTAGGTTTAATTATTGATACTTTTATTTTATCCCATTCACAAAATTGATCAATTTATTTTGAGTTTAGACAGTTAAGATTTTTTTTTTTACTTTTACATTTAAAATTAAATATGTTTTAATTTTATAAATTACAATTTTTTGTGAAATATAATATCGTATATAAATGTATTGCCAAATTTTATATAAAAATGTGAGGTGAGATCAAAATTAGTTGACTTTAATCTAAATTTAAATTAAAGATATTAATTCTATAAATCAAATAAAATTAAGAGACAAAAATTATAATTTAACATACAAATTTCTTTTAATTAAATATATTAAAAGAAGAGTTTACATTCATAATTCAATTCTTGACCAGAAACGGCTCCTTTTAAAATATTGTTGTTGCAACAAAGTAAATTATTTGTGATATAATAAATATTAATTTTAAAGATATTGTACTGTTAACATAGTTTTACAGATGTAATTAATTAAAATGTATATAATTATTATGCAATATTAACATTTTAAAAATTAAAATATGTTTTATTCTGCTACATAATTATAATTGATTGACAATGTAAAATATTTTATACTGTCAATATATTTTTTTTCATATTATATATGGTTTTAATTAAAATATTTTACTGACCAAATCACAGACAATTAATAATATTAATATGTTATAAATTTATATTTGGAAAAATAATTATTTTCTTCAACTTAAATTATATATCATCAAGACTTGTCACACAAATTAAAATTGTATTTAAAAATGGAAATTATTATTTATTTTATAAAATCATTTAAAAATATATATATTTAAATAATACTGTCAAATCAGATAAAAAATAAGCATAAATATTTTAATATTATTATAAAACAACTTATAAACTAAAATATTTTTTTATATAAAAATCATATCATTATGCTAGACACAGAATAATCTATACTCCTCTTGTCAAGTCAACTATATATGATTTTTATAATAATAAAAATACGACAAATCTTTCAAATAATAATCTTATGATGCTTGATGCTTGATGCAAGCAAGTTATATTTTATCTTTCAAATAAAATTGTTGTATAGACTCATAAATAATATCGAAATTGTTGAAATCTCAACCATTATGTCGGTAGTATTTTATTTATATATCGAGAAGAAATGTCGGTAGTATTTTACCCAAAGAATAGACTTTTAGTTCTTTAAACATTTTATAGTTTTAAATGGATTTATTTATGTTTGGTCAAATAATTCAGTGAAGTTAATTTATTCTTTTAAAATGAATTGTGTTTGTATTTGAATAAATATTTTTTTTAACCTCAATTTTATTTGTCGAACTTGTTCATAAAATATCTTCTTTGACAGAACAGGATGAGACGAACAACCCATCTGTTTTAGTCTATATAATTTTATTTCTCATGATATTTATCACTAATACTATTCCATAATTTTATTTCTCATGATATTTATTACTAATACTATTCCATCTTTTGAATGGTTCCAACTTCCAACAAAAATTTAATTATCTCGGTCATCACAAACAACCCCCATAAAGGCTGGGATCACCTCCAATTTATTAGTTTAATTTTTTTTTTTGACTTCATACAAACAATAAATAATAGCAAAACCCTACATTCTTAATAGATTTAGTTTGTAGAGACATTTATTTGTATTTAAAAGTTAAACATTTAATACATGAATTCTTAATTACAATAATTGTTTATATTTATATATTCATATGAATAAATTATTATTATTTATAAATTTAGGACCGGCCTTAGACCATGGCAAATTTCCAAAAAATAAGTGTTTTAAAATTATTTTTGTATAAATTATAAATTTAAAATAAATATATAAATATTAAGACATTAATTCTTATATATTGTCAATATAAAAATTTATATAGGGTCAATACATTCTAATCATCTATTTATATTGTTATTTAAATTGTTAAAATAAAAATAAATTTTTAAAAAAATCAACTATTATATTTATTTGAGAGTGTAAAATTTTTTTAAACTATCAGTATATATCAATTAAATTAAATTCAAATATTAATAATTTAACTTATAATATGAAATGTAAGTTACTTATAAAAAGTTATTTTTAACTCTAAAGTAAGAGATTTGATCCATAGTATTTACATACGCACCAAATTGTCGGAGAATCAACGTATTTTAAAAGATATAAAACAAGTCATTATACGTATGTATTCAAATTTTTTGTTGTCATATATAGTTATTTTATGGAATATTTTGATAAGTCTTTGGAATAATAGCACATGAATAATTAAGTAGTACAACACCAACTTGACATCCATATACTATTTTTTTTTTCCATTTGGTGACCAAGACATCCACGTACCTTTGTCTTCTTCCCCAAATTCAAGGTTTTACTTCCACAGCTTTGAACATTTTTTTTAATGTTTTTTCTTTCCGGATATTATTATAAATAATCTTTTTGAATATATTAAATACTTTATATGTTTAGCCTATATGATATATGATTTTTTCAATTAATTTTTTTAACTTATTGTTTATAATAGTTATTGGTAAATTAGGGGAACAAACAGAAATGAAAATATTCACCCCATTTTTGTTTCTCTAAAGGATAAACTTTGTATAAATTATTCATAAAAGTCAAATAAATATGAATTTTGGTTTGACAAACCTAAAAATAATATAAATATAAAGAAAACGGCATGATCGATAGACCGGTCTCGTGTTGTCACTCTAGGAAAAAAGTACTTTTGAATAATTGAATAATTGTCAAGGATTTATTCAATGACCAAAAAATTTTTGAACTTGTCATGTGCTTTGACATCAAATCCGTGACTCTTGGCCTACTGGTGTACAAAAGTCCAATTAGCCTTCTAGACAGTTACATTTAATTCAATGTAAAAGTTGGTCCACCAAAAAAAAGAATAACTTTTCTTTTATTTAAATATTATTATTACTATTTTTTTAAAAAATTAAATAGGTTTATATTTCTCATAAGTATTTTAATCTTTTAAAATATTTTTTAAAAAAAATGATACTCTTAAAATTTTTAGTTCCCAAAATGTCTCTCCTCTGATTTAACGATAAAATTAACAATAATGATAAAATTAATGACAATTTTAGTGACAGTTTTTAATTTAACAATTAAATTAGCGACAGTTTTAATATTAGAAAACAAAAGTGTGAGAAATTTTTTTATGAAAATTATTTTTTAAAAAATATTTTAAAAAACTAAAAACTAAATTTGAAATATTTAAAAACTTAAAAAATCTTCACAAATTACAACCATCCTTTATGAGTTTTTATTTTAAATTGTATTTAGAATATAATAAGAGCATAACATATTTATATTTATTAATATATAAGGTGATTTATGCAAATTATGTTTATGGAGTTATAAATAAAAATAATTTAATTATATGTTTCTGTAAAATAATAAAAGTATATATATATATATATATATATATATATATATATATATATATATATATATATATATATATATATATATATATATATATATATATGTATATATATATAAGTCTTGTAGTGTGCTTTCTATTAAAATATTTAAAACTTTTATGTAATTGTGGCACTGAAACGCAATAAGTTGATATACCTTAGGATATTTTCTCACAACATATGCTACTAATAATATATGAAAATAATTAAATATTTAAATAAAAATTGTTTTTTTAACTAATCATAAAATACAAATTATTTCTACAAAAATAAAAAATTATTAATGTAAAAATATTATCTTTTAAATATATTAGATGTGAGTGAATGTGCCATAAATAAATATTTGTTGAAATTGAAATAAAAACTCTAACTCGAAACATTAAAGGAGAGTAATAAAAATGACTTATATTGCTTCATTCAAAAGAAATGATTCTGAAGAATAAAAAAAAAACAAAAAGAATGACAGTAAAATTAAAAAGAGATATTAAACAAAATTTAATAATAATAAGTTAGCAATTTAAATAATAAATTTGAGTGAATAAATTTTAAATAAAAAAAATATAAATGTATTATTAAAAGTTATTAATTAAAGATATCTTTAATTTGTTACATATACATTGGTTCAATTTAATAGCAGATGAAGTCATAATAAAAATTAAAAACTCACACACACCATCTGAGTATTAGGTTCAAACCCGAATAATAGGGTCTAAATTATCAATATCGACTATTGTCCGTTGAGTTAGAATTTGCGAACACATTGGTTCAATTTCTATTTTGCAACATATTAAACTTGACATATATTATATATACATGGTTTGTTAATTAATCAGGAAAGAGCAAAAATCCTACTGAAATGGGCAGATTTAATTGATCAAAACATAGAAGAAATAGCAGCATTAGACACCATAGATGCCGGAAAATTGTACAGTTTTTGCAAAGCTGTTGACATACCTGGAGTAGCAGCCACAATCCGTTACTACGCCGGTGCTGCTGATAAAATTCACGGCGAGGTTTTAAAACCCGCGCGCGAGTTGCATGCATATACTTTGATGGAACCTATTGGCGTTGTCGGACACATAATTCCTTGGAATTTTCCTAGTACCATGTTTGTTGCTAAGGTTGCTCCTTCTTTGGCTGCTGGTTGTACTATGGTTCTCAAACCTGCTGAACAGACACCTCTTTCTGCTTTGTTTTATGCTCATCTTGCGAAAGAGGTACGGTTAAAGAAAGTTTGTTGATTAAGTTTTCGATCGCAATGTGATTAAAATTGAGCTTAATGCGATTAATATTTTGAAGGCTGGAATTCCGGATGGAGTACTCAATGTAGTACCTGGATTCGGTGCAACTGCGGGAGCTGCGATAAGCTCACACATGGACATTGATAAGGTAAAATTTAAATGTTATAAATATTTGAATTTTAATTAAGGACTAATTTGGTTGAGATTATGCAGGTTAGTTTTACTGGTTCGACAGAAGTAGGACGCGAAATAATGGTATCTGCGGCTAGAAGTAATTTGAAACCAGTTTCATTAGAGTTAGGAGGAAAGTCACCTCTGTTGATTTTTGATGATGCTGATGTTGATAAGGCTGCTGAACTTGCTCTCATTGGCATCCTATTTAATAAGGTGAATATTTTCTAAGAAAAAGCAGCACGTGTCGGAATTTTACACTTCTGATACGCGTCATTATGAGTTATTGCATGGGATCATTACTATATAATAGATATGGTTCATAGTTTACTAATGAGTGGTTAGGTCGTTCAGACGAGGTAATAATCCTGATGTATAGTTTAAGAATAATTTTATAAATTGAACCGTAGTATTTAACATTAGACTTTGTTAAGATACTATGGTCACATACAATTGGTCAAACTGTATCAATTTTTCCTATGATTGTATGTTTTTAGGGAGAAATTTGTGTTGCCAGTTCACGTGTGTATGTTCAAGAAGGAATCTATGATGAATTTGAGAAGAAGTTGGTGGAGAAAGCAAAAGCTTGGATTGTTGGTGATCCTTTTGATCCTAAAGTTCAACAGGGGCCTCAGGTATGAACTTAGCAACACAATATCATAAGTCATTTCATATTAACTCATCAACAAACACTAAAAATTGTAATAAGAACAAAGCATATTAAGCTTCATTAGATTGAATGATCAAATACAAAAACTATTTGTCGATGAAGTAGAGTTCATATTCTACAATCTAGGAACGATTCCATAAGATTAGGACATCTAACTAACTCCTAACTGCCATTTTCTATTAAAGGAAAGTTTGCATACAAACTACTAACTAACTTTGCGTATAAAGAAAGTTTACGTAACAAATTAGTTATTGATCTAACTAACTATTAACTCTTTTTTTTATCTTCATTGTGTGTTAATTTGAAAACACACTAAAATTTAAAAACTGCACAAATTAAATTTCATTAGATTTGACATTTGTAATACTCAACAACGGAATTAGAAACAGATTTTACATTTTTTCATCTCTAATATTTTGTTGCTATTTCAACTTTTTTTTAGTAGTATATTATATTTCTCTAGTAAGCAAATATGAGTCTCTAAGATTCTCCTATTGTAGGTTGACAAAAAGCAATTTGAAAAAATTCTTTCCTATATTGAACATGGAAAGAGAGAAGGTGCAACCCTTTTGACAGGTGGTAAAAATATTGGGAACAAAGGTTACTATATTGAGCCTACAATTTTCTCTAATGTTAAGGTGAATTTCAATTCAACAAATATAATATATATATATATATATATATATATATATATATATATATATATATATATATATATATATATATATATATATATATATATATATATATATATATATATATATATATATATATATATATATATATATATATATATATATATATATATATATATATATATATATATATATATATATATATATATATATATATATATATATATATATATATATATATATATATATATATGGATTCCTTCAAAATATTCAAATATTTTGTTCATAATAATTTTATCAGGAGGACATGCTTATAGCACAAGATGAAATATTTGGACCTGTCATGGCACTAATGAAATTCAAGTAAGTTATATTTTTATAATATGATTGAATATGGTATTTCTTTTTCCATTATAAAGTTATGAATAAACAATATAGGACTATCGAGGAAGCGATTAAAAGTGCGAACAATACAAGATATGGTTTAGCAGCAGGAATTGTGACAAAGAATTTGGACACAGCAAACACTGTGTCGAGATCGATTCGTGCTGGAATCATTTGGATTAATTGTTACTTTGCATTTGGAAATGACATTCCTTATGGAGGTTACAAAATGAGTGGATTTGGAAGAGATTTTGGGTTGGAATCATTGCATAAGTATTTACAAGTTAAATCTGTTGTTACTCCCATTTACAATTCTCCTTGGCTTTGAATGTTTGTATTTGAGTTTATTATGTGTATGTGAACAATAATGGATCTTTTACATGTATACTTCATCATAATAATATAACATTATAAGATCTTATGTTATATTGCATACCACCAAATTTGTGCATGTTTGGATTCTCATTAGGATTGGTAAAATGTGTTAGCTTCTCCTAAGATTAATTTGAGTTTTGTATATGTGGTTTATAAATTAGTTTTACAAATAAAAATTGATGAGAAGAGATAGATAAAAAGACTGAACAAATTATTTATACTAATTCATAATAATTATTGGTACATTTAAGTCCATTTTTCTAGTTTTTTAAAAATAATTTTTATAGTGTAATATATTTTTATTAAAAAATATATATATAATTTACTTTTAAAAAATACTTTAAATGAAAAATTGGTTTGGATATTTTTTCTTAAAATGTTATTTTAATATTTCATCATTTTACTGAAATTTTTTTAATATCAAATTTTTAAAATAATTTAAATTTAAAATTATTTAAAATTATTTTTCATAAATTTTTTTTTAAGTATATCGTTTTGAAAAATTTGTGATTTGAGATAGATAAGACAGATAGATTATTTATACTAATTTATAACATATGTTGGTATTTAAGTCCAATTCTTTTAGTTTTTTTTTAAATAAGTTTTATAGTGTTACATGTTTTTATTGAAAAATATATAATTTTTTTTTATAAAAAACTTCAAATAAAAACAGTTTGAAAAATTTTGCTTAAAATATTATTTTAGGTATTTTATTATTTTACATATCAAAATTTTAATTATAAAAGTTACTTTTGAAATACATTTTTTAAAAATTTTTGTAATTTTAATTATGTTTTAATCTTAAATAATGTATATATGTGTTATTGGATGACAAAATTCCAATTTGTATAATTCCAATTTTCTTTACAAATTTCAAAACCCTTATCAAATCCTCAAAGAAAACCATAAAGACCTATTCTTTTATGAGTATCATTTGTAGATTTTTATGACAGGTAAATAATGACATTTTCATTGGTTTTGGTTGACGACACTACTACAAAAATGATTTTTGGCAGCGCAGAAAAGACAGCACTTTCTGTAAAAGCGTTGCTAAAGAGTCAGGAAAAAAAGAAAGAAAAAAAAAGAGCTGACTTTAGACAACGCTTTTAGAAAAGCGCTGCTAAAGGTGAAAGTTATGGCTAACAATAAAAAGCACTTTATAAAAAGCGCTGCTAAATGGGGTACCTACGAAAGCACTTTGAGAAAGCGCTGCTATAGGGGTAATCTACGAGAGCGCTTTTAGAAAGTGTTGCTAAAGGGGTAACCTACGAAAGCGCTTTCTAAAAGCGCTGCTAAAGGTGGCAGTAAAGGGGGTACATAAGAAAACGCTTTTAGAAAAGTGCTGCTAAAGGGTATACAAAAGAAAGGGCTTTTATAAAAGCGCTGCTATAGGTCCTGCCTAAGGCAGACCTTAGAGAGTGCTTTTATAAAGCGCTGCTAAAGGCCATGCAAAAGCGTTGCCTTATGTTTAAGTATCATAAATTTAAAAAACTCAGAATTTTTCAGAACAGAACAATCTTTTGTTAAACCTTCACTCCCACTCGCGATAGAACCCTACTCCCTCCGTCGACTACTTTTGTTTGTTGTGTTCGTCCGACCGCCTCCGTCTGTCGCCGTCCTCCGTAGATGTCCGTCGTGTTCTCCATTTCCGCCTTCGTCTGTCCGTTTCGTCCGTCCGTCTTCGTCCTCCACCTCCTCTGTCAGCCATTTCCACAATTTTTAAGGTATTTGAAGTTTTTTTTTTAAATGTTGTTGATAGAAACAAATGATGTTGATGTTGTTGTTGTTAGTGTTGATGTTAATGTTGTTGTTGATGGAAACAGATGATGTTATTGCATGTTAGTGTTGTTGTTGATGTTAAATTGATAATGTTGATGGAAACAAATGATGTTGTTGCATGTTAGTGTTGTTGTTGATGGAAATAAATGATGATAATGTTGTTGTTGTTAGTGTTGATGTTAATGTTGTTGTTGTTAGTGTTGTTGTTGATGTTAAAATGATAATGTTGATGGAAACAAATGATGTTAATGTTGTTGTTGTTAGTGTTAATATTAATGATGTTGTTGATATTGTTGATGGAAACAAATGTTGTTGTTCTTAGTGTTGATGTTAATGATGTTGATTTTGTTGATGAAAACAAATGAATTAATTTCGTATATATATTAATGTTATTGTTGTTGATGGAAACTTGAATTAAATAACGATAATGTTGTTGTTGATGTTGTTGGTGTTGATGTTAATGATGTTGATGTTAATGATGTTGATGAAAGTAATGAATTATTTATGTCTGTTAATTTTTATTGTTTCCAAGAATTATTTAATGTTGATGATGTTAATTTTGTCTGTTATAGGGGTTACCTGTGAAGAGCAAGATTGTGATCGTTTCCAAGAATCCTATTGTGTAGTTCTAGAAGTTGGTGATTTCTCTACAGGTGCTACAGGTATTCGCTGTTTTTGTTTACCTTTCTTAGTTTAGTTTAGCCTACTTAATTAGTATGGATAAAAAATGGATGTCTTCTATCGATTGTCAAAAGAGTACGAGAATGGGGTATCAAAATTTGTTAAGTTTGTTTAAAACGCCAAAGACCCCAGTAGGATCACATGTCCTTGCTTAGGTTGCTGTTATGGGTGTCGGATTGACGCAGTTCAGTTGGAATCTCATTTAAAGAGACATGAAATTGATCGAAGTTATACATGTTGGACATTACATGGTGAGATAAGTAACGAGAATGTCGAACAGGGGGATAATATGACATATACTTCAAATGACAATGGCAGAGATACATATGATTGTGATCGAGTCGAAGAGATTGCAGAAGCACTTGAAGAAGATCTTCAAGATTTTCCCAAGATGTTTGAGAGGTTGGTAAGCGATGTAGAGAAACCGTTGTATAAAGGTTGCACTACTTTCACAAGATTGTATGCGGTATTAAAGTTGTACAACTTAAAGGCGGGTAATGGATGGCCGGATAAAAGTTTCACGGAGTTATTAGCCCTTATGAAAGAGATGCTTCTAGAGGATAATGTTCTTCCCAATCGAACCTATGAAGCTAAAAAAATGTTATGCTCTATTGGCATGAGCTATGATAAGATACATGCTTGTCCAAATGATTGCATTTTCTTTCGAAATGAATATGCATCATTAAACGAGTGTCCTAAATGCGGTGTATCTCGGTATAAGAAAAAGTTGTCACCAGCAAAAGTCTTATGGTATTTTCCTATAATTATGAGATTTAGACGCATGTTTTATAGTGAAACAGATGCAAAACACTTGACTTGGCATGCTGGTGATAGAATTATAGATGGGAAGTATCGACATCCGGCAGATTCACCACAGTGGATGAAAAATGATAATGAGTATCCTAATTTTGGAGAAGAAGCTATAAACCTTCGCTTGGCATTATCAACTGATGGAATGAATTTGCATGGTCTACAAAGTATCTCACATTCCACATGGCATGTAATTATTATGATTTATAATCTACCTCCATGGCTATGTATGAAGTGTAAGTACATGATGTTATCTATGTTAATTTCTGGCCCTAAACAACCAGGGAATGACATAGACGTATACTTGACACCTTTAATCGAAGACTTAAAGAGTTTGTGGGAGAACGGTGTGGAGGTTTATGATGGATATAGGAAATAAAGTTTCAATTTGATGGTAAGATGCCTGAATCTAGCAAGGTGCCCAACAAAAAAAGGCCGAGCAAAAAAAACATTTATTCCTCGATTTAGGTTGTGCCTTGAAACATATGTAGGAACAACAGATGTGGCTGAGGTTGGCATCCGTCAAATACCTATGGAGGAAGGTATTTCGGTTTTGAATATGCCGAAACAATTGCAAAAGAGGATTTGGACCAGATTTTCCAACATTCTGAATTGGGCATCGGTGTTATGCATTCCTACATCAGGTACTCTGATCAATTTTAATTAAATAATTGAACAATTTATTTGCTTATTTAAATGAATATTCTAATGTTGATTCTGTTTTTATTTAAGGTTCTTGTATGATAAGTTGTTGGTCCCGCATAATTTGACTTCAAGATTTGCATTCTTATCTGCTAGTTGTATCAACTCACGGTCAATCGATCACACTCCAGATGTAGTCAAAGATTACATAGTCCAAGAATTTATGACCGCAGATACAGAGAAGTTGTATTTTTTGCCATATAATACTGGCCATGGGTTAGATTTCATTCTAAATTCATTTATTATATTTATTCGTTTTTTCCATTCTATATAACATTTCCGTCTAAAATTTTGTCTTATTTTACAGTGGACACTAGTTGTTGGTTGTGGTTAATCCGATGAAAGAAATAGTGTATTATCTGGATTCATTGGATGGTGATCAAACAAAATATCCTGATATGAAGAAAATGGTTGATACGTAAGTGATGAGATATATTATATTGTTCTGAATAATTATCTTTATTTATTATGTGAAATTATTCTAAATATTCGTTTATATTATGTTAGAGCTATACAAATATTCCGATCACAAAGAGAAGCAACCATGCCAAAAAGGAAGGCTAACAACATTAGCTGGATCAGAGTGCAGGTATATTTTCACAATTTTGAATGTTATAGTGATTCTACTTGTTAAAACTAGTTAAACTATATATCCTGATAAATATTTGTTTGTTTTTTTTTTCCATTTACAGTGTCCTCGTCAGCGTAATGGGATTGATTGCGGATATTTTGTATTGAGGTTTATGAAAGAAATTATTCATTCGGGTCAAATAGAGATTCCAATCATGGTATGGATCAATTTATAAGTTATATTTTAATATTTAACCAATATTTCATCTGAGTAATTAGTTTTAAAACTAAATCATGCATGTTA